TTTCTAAAAAAAAAAAAAAAAAAAGAATTTGCAGTACAAAAATCAGTTTTATTTTTTTAACAGGCAAAGATGAGACATCAACAAATGGAAGCTTGACTGTAGATGAAAAAACTCAATGGATTTTAAAAGAGATTGAATCTCGAAGGTAGTTATATAAAGTGAAGACTTAAAAGCAAGTACCTTGAGCAAGTACTTTTCACTACTTAAATATAATTAACCAAGTGATATAACTAACTATACCTGACATGCAGTATTAATTTATGAGAATAATGTAAAACCAAAATTTAGTGAAGCAGTCCTCAGCGGCTTTAAAGCTACCCAGGTGTGTCTGATCAGCTAATAGGAATAGGTTAAAATGACGTTTTAAGGCTGGGAATTGCTGGTTACTAGAAGCCAGTCTTATAGTAATATTATATTGTTACCCCCTCTACAGAATCGGGTTAGCCCATGGGAATGTCCTAACTTTGAATGTCTTATGAAAAACAAAGAGAAAACCACCAATTCAAACTAATGAAACTGAAAATGTCAAAAATGTTAACAAAATTATATGCTATTATGTGGTGTTTTTCTGGCCATGTTAGATAAATTATAAAATTACTAAATAAGTTTTTAAAGCATTTATTTTCAGCAAGAACTATTTGCATTTTCATTTATTTTCGTTTTTTTGCAAAATATAGGACACAAAGAAGACAAGCAAGGTCACTTTCTGGGAATTGCAGCCATCAGGAAGGGACATCTAGTGATGATGAACTGTCCTCAGCAGAAATGACTGACTTCCAAAAAAGCCAAGGTTAGTTACCAAGTTTTTGATATGTCTTGGTTTGAAGTACTGAAATGGTGGGGAATACTTTGCTATGGTTGCCCTTAAATACATAAGCTATATAAAACAGATAGTAAAATTCAAGAAAATCGGAAAACTTTTTTCCCCTTTAAAACTCTTTCCTACCTTTGAAAAAAAGGAATATAATGAAGGAAGAGTATGTGAGTATTCTTGTGTCTTTATAGTTTTTTCTCTCAGCTTTTCTCCTGTTACAGATGAACATTTGATTTCATTTCTCTACCACACACATTTCCTTTATTATAATTTTTAATTTAAAACAACTGAATTTATTAAAACTTTTTAGCATTATGAAAAAGTAAGATGTGTGTAGTTGAAAGATTCTGGGCTTTAGAGTTAGACTTGAACTCTTCTGTATGATTTTAGGCAAATTCTTTGTCCTTCCTAAATATGGGGTTTTTCTGTTTGTAAATAAGTAAGCTATGTATATATCTTGTGAGGAAGATAACTGTGATGAAATGAGATTAATGTATTTGTAAGGTACTGGCATACAGCAGGGGCTCAGTAAATGGTAGTTGTTGCTATTATTACTTTGTTGCTAAAATGATTTTTTTAATAAAAATGAGTTTATATGTTAATATCAAAAGATAGCTTTCAGTTCAATTGATTACAGTCATATATGACTGTGTTTATAAGGAAGCAGACTTAAAGTTCACAAACTTAAGGTGCATATAACATAAAGAGACTCATGTTATTTACAGGTGATATTTTACAGGATCAGAAGAAAGTTTTTGAAGATGTGCATGATGATTTTTGTAGCATCCAGAATATTTTGTTGAAATTTCAGCAATGGCGAGAAAAGTTTCCTGACTCCTACTATGATGCTTTTATTAGTTTGTGTATACCGAAACTTTTAAATCCCTTAATACGAGTTCAGTTGATTGATTGGAATCCTCTTAAGGTATTTATGCTTAAAATGTGAAAAATTAGCCTGATCTCATTAGTTACTTAAATTCCCCCGCTATCAGGTTAGCTATTAATATCTTACCCCTGGAGTTAGAGTTGAAATTTAGCACTTTGGAATGATAGTCTAAAAATGCGTACTTTAACCTATGTTCTTTTCTTGGCTTTCACTTGATTTTTAAGACTGAGCGGCACTAACCATCAGTAAAGCAAGCACATTATTTTTAACTTCTTGTATATTACATTTAAAACCTCCACTCCCCCAATGTAACATATCCCCAATGTAACATAGTATTGGGTTTGGGGAAATAGACACAAGTCTTGTTCCATGAGTTCTGAAGTTGGAGATGGAGTATTGGGAAAAGTTGGTTAAGGTTGCATTCAGGAGGAGGAATTTAAGCACGGCTTTGAAGAATATATGGGACAAATAGGAGACAGAAAGGGAAAGGTGTTTCATAAGGGTATAAAGGCAGAAATACTTGTTCAAGAGCTAGAAATTAAACAGATGTTTAGATCCTAAATTAAGAAATATGAACTCGACATCTGCCTACTATGCACAAGAACCTTTAGCTAAACTACATACATTTGTATGCTTATGAGAATTGAAAGAACCAGAAGTAAGCTATTTGAAGTGGATACATTTTTATAAGCAGATTTCTTGGCAATCTCAAATACTTAACAAATGCCTATCTTGTTCTTGTCAGAGTACTTGCTCTGCGGTAGTCTACAGGCTCTGGCACACAGTAGGTAGTTGTTGAATGTTGGTTGTGTGAATGAGTACATGAAATGCAACTTCTTGTTGCATTGTTTAGATACCATATCTCAGTCATGTTGTTCTGCTGAAGCTCAGTGGTCTCATGCTGCATCTATAGATCTATAGATGTTAAGATGTGGAATTAATATTTTGTGATGCTTAGAAAAGCTCTGGTGATTACTGAAGAAGTTAAGTATTTTAAAAACACTAGTGTTTAAGAATTTATTTATACATTTTATAATTTTCCTTTTTAAGTTGGATTCCATAGGTTTAAAACAGATGCCATGGTTCACATCTATAGAAGAATTTTTGGATAGCAGTGTGGAAGATTCAAAAAAAGAAGATAATTCAGACAGAAAAATCTTGTCTGCTGTCATCAACAAAACAGTTATTCCCCGACTTACAGGTATTGCTTTGTAATTCTGATTTTAAAAAACAAACAAATATTTTTTGACAGAGTATAATTTCTATTATATTCACAGTTTTATTTTCAAAAGGTTTTGAACAAAATGAAATGTATATGGATGTCAAATTTAAGCTGATGGAAACATGCTTGTTTGTGCAAGTGGTTAGTTACCAAACTGCTGATACTCTGAGCCTTTAGTATTTTTCGTATTACTGCAGCTTTTGTGATACTTCAGTTGTTTGTTAGTAGCACACTTCCATCCATACTACATTTATCTTTTTCTTTCCCCTAACTTAGTCTGAAGTATCTTGTTTTACCTGAAAATATACTTGATAAAGATCTCTTTCTCCATGTCTCTGAGAAAAAAATTTTGAAAGAAATGATTGCAGACCCCTATATCAAAAGATGAAACAGTCAGCTTTTTATGGCTTCTCAGCCAACTTGATTAGACTTTAAAGTTTTTTTTTTCCAAAGAAACTTACATTTGTGGGGTGTATTAGAATGTTGCTTCTTTTAACTAGCTCTACTAGTTACTAGAATACATGTGCTTCATTTAAGTACTCTTCTGAAAAACTCAAATACTTAAATTAAGCAGTCTCACAAATAAGTGACTTTATGAGACATTAATACTGACTGAATTCCTATAGTGATTAAGTCCACGTGTATTTCAAAGGTAGCACTAGCAGAATTTGCTGATGCGTTGGTTTGGAGCGAGAGAGAAAAAGAATCAAGAATGATTCCATGGATTTTGGCCTGAGCAGCTGGAAAGACAGAGTTGCCATTTTCTGAAATGAAAAAATCTGAGAGAAGTCAGCTTAAAGTGGGGAGGTGTATCAGCAGCTTAGTTTGGGACATGTTGCGTTTGAGATGCTGGTAATCTAAGTGGAAACACCAAGTAGATTGTTGAATACATGAGTCTCAAAAGGGGAGGTCTACTTACGGGGTATGAATTTGGAATATATTAATATCAGTATATCGATGGCATTTAAAGCCATGAAACTGACTTTAAATACTAAGTGAGGGAATGTTAATAGGAAAGAAAAGCAAAGTAACCTGAATCTGAGCATTTATGAGTCAAAAAGGTGACCAACAGTCAGCAAAAAAGACCAGAGAGGTAGGCCACAGGCAGGAAACAAGGAGTGTGGGTAGCATCCTGGAAGCCAAGTAAAGAAAGTGTTTCTAAGAAGTATATCAACTTGGAAGTGTTGGTGATAAGTCATGTGAGGTTTAGACTCAACAATTGAGTTGGCTGTGTGAATGTTATCTATGGCTTAATAATAATCCAGTTATAATGGTGAGAGATAAGGCCTAATTGAAGGGAATTCAAGAACAAATGGAAAGAGAGAAGTTGGAGGTTTAAGTTTAGATAGCATCTTCAAAAATAGGAAGGGAAAGGAATAGTACTAGAGGAGGAAGTGTTGCTTAGAGGGGGGTTATTTTTAATACAAGAGAAATAATTGTTGGCTGATGAAAACAATCTAGTAGAAGTGATGCCAATACCAAAGTGAAAGAACAGAATTCCAGGAGCAGAATCTTTGAGTAAGCCAAAGGGGGTGGGATCTCATGCACAAATAAAGAATTGTCCTTAACTGGGAATGTGGATGCTTCATCCATAGGAATAGGAGACAAGTTAGAGCATATGTGCACAGATGCAGGTGGGTGTGTAGATGCTTGGTAGGAGTTTGTGAAGCTGCTATTTATACAGCTTCTATTTTCTCATCAAATTAGGAAGTAATAAACTGAAAGAAAATGAGCAAGATAGAAAAAGTAAGAAATAAAGTCCATCGACTGAAAGTAAGAGCAAGAAGGAGAGAGAAGGTATGAAATAATCATCTAGCCCGGGGAGAGTGAATAGAATAGAGAAAGAGAATATGATTGCTGAGCAGCATTGCAGGCTCACTTGAGTTTTATGGTGATAAATTTAATGTGATTTTTTTCAGCTTCATTTTAGTTGCATGGTTGCAGGCACAGCCTTAGTGACAAGGTAGATTTAACTAGAGTTGTAATTTAGCCAGAGGATTTCAACAAAGCCCGAGAAGAACAGGGAAATTCAGAATGTGTACACATCTGTAATAGTATTGATTGACCATGGATTTTAAACGAAATAGGGAGAGAAGTAGTCTTTGCTAAAGGCTTTGCTTACTTGTATGTGAGAAGCAAAGCAATCTAGTAAATAAATTCTGTATCACTGAAATATTTGTTTCAGACATTGTGGAATTCATTTGGGATCCCTTGTCAACCTCACAGACAACAAGTTTAATGACACACTGCAGAATGATTCTTGAAGTACATTCCACTTGTGAAAATGAAATCAGTAAAAGCAAACAGGTAATAAATTCTAGAGTTCCTAATTCCTTGATTTATTTGTAAATCAATATAATTTTATTACAAATTTTTGTTTATAGAAGTAATAATCAGGAAAGTATTGGGGGGAAATATACAAGGGCAGGCCCAAAAACAGCTGGAATTATTTTTTGGAGGGCTAAAAATTATTTTTTGGAGGCCCCTTGTAGTACAGGCTTTCTTTGCTCGGTGAGTGTTCTGGGAACCCATCAGCCTCAGTGTACCAGCTAGCAATGTTATGAGAGACTGCATTTGGCTTTGCTGAATTTTTTTTGGAGATTCTTTGAATAGGTTTGCCCATTTCATGATGGATGATTTATGAGCACATCTGCTCATATCACACCGAGTGTTCAGCAGTTTTTGACCAAAAATGCCATGGCCCCATGCCCTGCTCCCTTTTTTACCTGATTTCGCCCCAAGCAACTCTTTCTTTTGTTTCCCCGGATGAAAAAAGTCCTCAAAGGGAAGTGTTTTGCCAATGTGGAAGAGGTGAAACAAAAAACGACAGAAGCACTAAAAGGCATCCAAATTGATAAGCTAGAGTTTAAAACCTGTTTTGTGCAGTGCAAAAAGTGTCTCAATAGGAGAAAGCATCAAATAGAGAGTACTTTGAAGGCGACTTAAGTTTAAATATGTAAGAATAAATACACTTTTTTAATAAATAAATTCCAGGGTTTTTTGGGTCCCCCCTTGTATTTATTTTTGATTTATAGAAACTAGGATTGATCATTTTTCCTCTTTCTAATAATAAGATTAAAGGATATGATATACCTTGAACACTATAATAGGAATGGTAACATTATTAATTAAAATATACACATATATGCAGTAAGACCCAGATTACTATTTCATTCTTATTAGCTTATTTTCCTCTGTTCAGTGATCTGATTTGTATTCTCATGATCCAGATAGCTATGTTTCAGGACTGTGAATATACATTGACCCTGCAGAGATGACAGGCATAAGTGCTTTTATTCATTCATTTCTTCTAAAAAAAAAAAAAAACAAAAAGCTTATTACTTTTCTTCTTTTGACCAAAATCTAGTGGCATTGTGACTTTGCCTTAACAAGTTTCAAAATTAAGTTAATATGTACTATATTAACTGTTATTTTAAGCTGCCAAAGTTAAAAGTACTAATCTCTTTAAGGATTCAGTGTTCAAAAGGACAGATCTTCATCTAAAATAATCTAGAATTTCGTTTACTAAACATAAGATATACTGAGAAACTTTTTGCAGAAGCCTTGCTGAAAGTCTGATGAATCTTTCATTGTGTTACAGTAAGTCCCCTACATACAAACCTTCAAGTTACAAACTTTAACAATGCACATTTGCTTTTTTTATGTATTATTTCTCTTCACTAAGTGTTCCTATATCCCATTAAACAAATATAGTAGTACTATATTACCGATTGTGTTAGTTGGGTACCTAGGCTAACTTTGTTGGACTTAAAACAAATTGGACTTTAAAAATGGTCTCAGAACGGAACTCGTTTGTATGTTGGAGACTTCCTATCTTTTGTTTTATATCATTTTGTTGTTGAGATTGTTGTATACTCATGCAGTTATATGAGTCAATGTTTGAGCTTTAGGAAATTGAGAGATTGACAAACAGAAAAGCACCCAGAGTGGAATGACCAAGGTGGTTGAAAAGCAAGGAGGCATATCATACCATATTATGAACATCATTAATTGTCTAAAGCTGTCCAAAGTTATGTGCAGTCTCAGGTGATGGTGATTCCCTATCAGTAAAATTTTTTAGGCATAAATAGTAAGGTTGTAAAATGAATCAAAGTATCAGTTGAGTGTTTAGATAGATTTTGGTTTTCAAACTTTTGTTTTTAATGAACAAAACCTATTTCAAATACCAATACACACGCGCGCGCGACACTGCTTCAGTATACCAAGCACCTTCCCTCATTCTTCCCTGCCACTCCAGCATCTGTCCAAGCCACCTTGGAATTTACTTCCATAAATATATAGAGAAGCATAAAAACCACCAGCTAGCATATATAAGTGCTTCTTTAAAGCTGTTTTAAAGTATATAAATACAGATTTGTTGTATGTGCACAACACACAATAAATATTTATATAAAAGTCTTGTGTGCACGTGTGTGAGTCTGAATGTGTGGGTCAGAATGCTTGTTAAAACTGCTTGGAGAGCCACGCGCAGTGGCTCACTCCTTTAATCCAAGCACTTTGGGAGGCAGAGGCTAGAGGATTGCCTGAGCCTGGGGGTTCAAGACCAGCCTGGGCAACATAGCAAGACCTCATCTCTACAGTAAATTAAAAAATTAGCAGGGTATGTGGGCGTACACCTGTAATTCCAGTTCTTGGAATGCTGAGGCAGAAGGATTGCCTGAGCCCAGCAGGTCAAGGCTAGGGTGACAGAGTGAGACTCCAACTCTGAAAAAGAAAAAAAACTTTATTTTTTTGACCAAATAAACAATGTTATTTTAATACTTAGAAAAGTTAATGAACTTACAGTTTTAAAATACGTGAATCCATGCTTTGTTTTAAAAAGTGTATTTAGAAGTAGTTTCAAACTTACAGAAAAGTTACATGATTAAAAGTAGTATACCTGAACCGGGCATGGTAACTCACGCCTATAATCCCAGCACTTTGGGAAACTGAGTTGAGAGGATTGCTGGAGCCCACAGGTTTGAGACCAGCCTGGGCAACTTGGCGAGACCTCATCTCTACAATAAATTTTTAAAAATTAGCTGGGCCTGGTGGCACATGCCTATAGTTTCAGCTACTTGGAAGGCTGAGGCAGAAGGATAAGCCCAGCAAGTCAAAGGCTGTAGTGGCCGTGAGTGTACCACTGCACTCCAGCCTGGGTGACAGAGTGAGACTCCAACTCAAAAAAAAAAGTAGTAAAGCTATATTCACTTATCATTAGTACTTTGCCCCATTTGCTTTATCTTTTGTTTCCCTATTTTATATACAGGGATGCCAAAAAAATGAATACACATTTTAAGAGATGTTATCTATCTATTACTTTCGAAGCTGAATTAAATTACGGTAGCAATGTGTAGTATGACATTCACTCAACTGTGCTTCCACCATTTTCTTTGACCTACCAGTTGAATGTGTCACTAGCATTCATTTGATTAATGCCACCTTTTGAGTGAACATCATACTTAAAATGTGTATGTATTTTTTGCCCCCCCATATGTACACATGATATTTTTCTCCTGAATACTTTGAGAGTAAGGTTCATATTTACATGGCCATAGTATAGTTAGCAATTTTAGTAAATTTAACAACATATAATCTACCAACCATATTCCACTTTTTTAATTTGGCTCGATAATGTCCTTTAATAGCATTTTCAACAACTATTTTAAGAAACAAAATTTAAAGAAATATGGAAGTATGTGTCAAAGTTGCTATTCAAAATCATTAAAATTAAATGAAAAAAATTAAAGCATAGCTTTTTTCTCTAACACAAATACCTAACTTAATGATTTATATAAGCTCAGACACTATTTTGTGGAGATACTATCTAGAAAATTATCTTTTTTCTTTTAACAGAATTCAAAATGTTTAAGAAATAGAGTAAAATAAAATTGAATTTTTGTCACTAATGTTAATTAAATATTTATATATGAGGACTTGGAATATGTTACAGATAATGAAGTGGAAAGAGAGATAGGACTTCAGTTCAGTGTGCTTTTTATGAAAAAATATATTTGGTTGAATAACACATTTATGAGTAGTTAGCATAGGGTATGTGACAGCTTAATTTGTGCTACATATGGTCATTTACTTTAAAAATAACTGGCTTTAGTGTGTAGTATGCCATTTTCATTTTTCAAATATAGATCCTTTTTAAAGAATATCATTATAGAGGTTGGGTATACTAGTTCAGACATGAACTGTAATCCCAGCACTTTGGAAGGCTGAAGTAGGAGGATTGTTTGTGCCCAGGAGTTTGAAACCAGCCTAAGCAACATAGCCAGACATCATCTATACAAAAAAAAATTGTTTAAAAAGTAACCAGGTATGGTGATGTGCACCTGTAGTCCTAGGTACTTAGGAGGCTGAGGTGGGAGGATCACTCCAGCCCGGGAGTTTGAGGCTGCAGTGAGCCATGATCATGACACTGCATTCATGACTGGGCAACAGAGTGAGACCCTGACTCAAAAATATATATATATCATTATAGAAAAATAATACATGAGAGAAAGATTTTAAATTACCAGTTTCTTTTCATCCTAGTACAAGGACTGATACCATTGTAGTATATTTTCATTCAGCCTTTTGTTTCAAAGTTATAATCCCACTAGACATATAAGTTAGTATTTTACTTCTTCTGTTTAACATTACTTTAGCTAATTCACGTTTCCATTCAATGGATGGATATAACATTAATGTCCTTAAAATTCCCTATGATGGAATATTTTGTTTCCAATTTTTAATATATAAACAAAATGAATTTGCTGCATCAAAGGACACAAACAAACCAACAGAGGATCCACAGCTGGACTATACGAAAGGCTTCTACAGATCAATAATAAAAAGAACCTAGTATAAAAAAATAGAAATGAAAACAAGCAGCTTAATCAGGTGCTTTGCAATAAGGCTTGCCAAATGGCAAGTGAAAATATGAGAAGATGCCCAACATTACATTACTCAATAGAGTAATGAAAACACAATGTGGTGTGACTGCCTAACCACCAGAATTGCAAACATTAAAAGACCAAAAAAAAAAACCACCACCAAATTTTAGTAAGTATGTAGGGAAATAGGATTTCTTTTTTTTTTTTTTAACACCACAGTGGGGACTATAACAGGGATAACAGCTATTCTAGAAAACAGTTTGGTTTTTTTGTAAATAGTTGAACATAAGGACATGAGCTGTATTCTAATCAGTTCAATTTCTATGTATATGTCCATTAGAAATGTATGCCCATCCATACTAAAAGACATGTTAAGAACTTGTATAACACCATTGTTCACCATAACCCCAAACTACTGATCACTGATGCTTTTCAAATCCTTTAATAATAGGATTTACTTAAATCTATTGTTTCAAGAATGAAGAAGGCAGTAGAAGATGATGTTTTTATTCCCCTGTATCCAAAGAGGTAAGAGCTGTTAATATCTAACTGTTTGAAATAGCTAATCATGAAATACAGATTTAAGAATGAAATGCAAAGATAACTGTAGCGTTTTTAAAACATACATACACCTAACCCTTAACTGTATCCCACAACTTTAAAATAAAAAATATGTTAAAAAAATACATACACATATTCTATTCAGATTAAATTGTGATTTGAACAAATATTTCTCATTTACCTACTATATGTCATGCTTTATGCTTGGCGCTTGAACATAGTTGGTGTTTTGCTTTTCTTTAATATATCCTAGGAACACTAGAGGTGACATAGGTGGTAAAGAGCACAAACTCAGGAGCCTGAACCTACTGTTAGTAGATATTTGACCTTGGGCTTTTCTGTGCATCAGTTTCTTGGTCTATCAAATGGGAATAAACTTAGTGCCTACCTCACAGGACATTGGGAGGATGAAGAGAGTGTTCAGAACAAAACAGTGCCTGACACAGAGGAAGCACAGAATAAAGACTTGGAACATTAATGAAGGACCAGAAACAGCAAATGTAAATTCTGTGTTCACTCTAAATTAGGAAACAAGTAGTAGTCGATGCGTGGTCATACATTTGCTAAGAAAACATCTGTTATACTAATTATTTGTGAACTATAGCAATCCACTGAATACTCACAGGATGGAAGAGCTTAGGAAAAGAAGAAACCTCAAAGCTATCTGACTTATTTTGGGTCGTGAGGAGATGTCTGCATATAAAAATTCTGCCCTGGTAAAGTTTATTTTGTAATGTTTTAGATAAGTAATATATTCACATGGCTCAAAAGTATGAGTGTGGCTTGTTTATTTTTTAATATTTAGTTTTTGTATGTGTGTTTTGAGTTGGGGTCTGTGTCACCCAGGCTGGAGTGCAGTGACACGATCATGGCTCACTGCAGCCTCAACCTCCTGGGCTCTGGTGATCCTTCTGCCTCAGCCCCTGAGTAGCTTGGACCACAGGCACATGCCACATGGTTTTGTTGTTGTTGTTGTTGTTGTTGTTGTTGTTGTTTTGAGTTGGAGTCTCACTCTGTCGCCCAGACTGGAGTGCAGTGGCCGCTCCCGGCCACCGCAGCCTCGACCTGCTGGGTTTCGACGATCCTTCTGCCTCAGCCTTCCAAGTAGCTGGAATTACAGGCATGCACTACCACGCCCGGCTGATTTTTTGATTTATTGTAGAGATGAGGTCTC